CCCTGCCGAGCTCCACTCCCGCTGCTGCCTGCTATGTACGGCCCAGAACCCTTGCGGCGCCCGGGTGTCCCCGACGGCAGAAGCTCCAGGCAGGGCGTGTGTCAAGAAGGCTGCGACTCGAGGGCGCGGACTCGGCGGACCGGGCTGCAGGGTGGCTAGGCATGCTGATCTGAGCGCTGGGCGGGATCTGTCCGCCGCCCGGTGCTGAAAGGCCTCCTGCGCCGCGCTCCCGTATCGCGTTCTCCCAGCCCCACTGAGTCCCTGTATCTGTGTTAGTTTTTCCTTCCTAGCTGCTGGTTTCCTCAAAGTCCAGGCGGGCTTTGGGGAAAGAGAAGGTAGAAGTGGAATTCCGTAAAGGACAGGGCAAGAAATTGAGAGGGCTGGGTCCTGGGGAAAGAAAGGAGAATTACATAAGAAAATGTGGCCTTAGTGAAACTGTATCTTAGAACCTAGAGCAAGAGTGAGGTGAAAGAGTACATTGTGTCTCATCCATAATCAAAGGAAGCAAGCAGGTCAACAGGCTGCTGAACACTCAGCCCTCAGAGAGGACTTTCCTTCCTGAGCCTCTTAGACTGTGGCTGGGTGCAGTGGTTCAGTGGTGCCCACCAGTAATCTCAGAACTCCAGAGACTGAGGCGAAAGGATTGCAAGTTCAAGGCCAGCCTAAGCAATTTGGAAAGACCTTGTCCCAAAATAAAAAACAAAAAGGGCTGAGAGCGCAGTTCAGAGGTAGACTAACTCTGGGTTCAGTCCCCACTACTGCAAAACATCTGTCAAAGGCCATCTTCCTTCATAGGACAGGTTCTTATGCAGCCCTGATAAAATGAATGGCAAAAGGCTGCCAGGTCCCAGGCTGAGAGGCACTTCTGGAAGACACGGAGCAGGTCTGTCAGCGGAGGCATGTGAGGTGTGTGAGTGGAGAAATGATCAGTTGTCTTAAAAGGGAAAACACACAGGTGAAACTAACTTAAATACTGTTCTATATTTAAAATCCAATTTCTGTAAATAGTATCATTTCCGTGTAATCTGTACATATAAAGCTACGTTTATTGGGGGGGCACTGAAGCTCTTAAACCCAGGCACAAGTGACATTTTCATCTGACCAGCAGCTCCAGCGGCTGACGTTGACCAACTGGACTGCATACCAGGGAATGTTATGACCCCAGTACAGGTTTCTGGTGACCAAAAGAGGTAGACGCAAAACTAGTGTTATTTTGTTATTGTTGCCTTTACCCATTTTTTCCCATGGGGGGGGGTGAGACAAGGTCTCACTATGGAGTTGAAATTGACCTGGAACTCACTATGTAGCCCAGGCTGGTGTCAAACTCACAGTGATCCACCTGTCTCAGCCTCTGAAGTGCTGGGATTACAGGTGTGCACCACCACTACCAGCTCATTTTTTTTCCTATTTTGAGGCAATAAGACTTAACAGTGACTCTGATAATGGTTTGGTCTCCTAACCTCCCTTTTCATCTGGACCTCCTGATGTAATGAGTCTAAAATGATGAAATCCAGGAGAGTGGTTCTCACTTTTCTAAGTGCAGCTACAAATCATCTGGCACCCTTATTAAGAATGACACTCTGGACTGGTGCCTCAGGTGGGGCTGAGTTCCAATGTCACAGCCTCTGCTCTCCCTGTGAGTAGTGGTGATGGAGAGGGAGCAGTGTGATCTTGGGAAAAGTACTGAAGCACTCTCTGCCTTGGTTTCCTCGTGTGTAAAAATAAGGTGATAATAGCAGCTACTTTATTTTTTTCACTCTACAAAAAATAACTGAATCTGGGGGTGCTAGAGGCCTCCCTCTTACCATCATACACATCCCTAGCAGGTTCAGGACTCACCCCTCACAATAAAATCAAGAAAACAGACTGAAAATATGCATTACTTAGCATGCTCCTCTTCCTGTACCCACAGATGAGGACAGTCTGTCTGAAGACAAGAGTGACCTGAAGGTGTCCACTGGCCTGGGAAAGAGGAAGAAGCGGCGGCACAGGTACAGGCCACTGCCTCATTGGGCCTCCTCCTGGATGTAGCCTGGTGCCCATGGAGCCAGCACCTGGGAGTTTATGGCCCTGGGCCTGGCTGGGGTGGGTCCAGAAGCCCCCTGCTTGCCTGTACGGAGAGTACTATAAACTACTTACAGAGAAAATTCTGCACTCTCAGGAGGCTGCAGATTGATCTTGGTACTGTTTTAAAAACACTGTTTTGTGGTGTGTGAAATGGGTCTCACCAGAAGGGATTGGTGGGATTCATTAAGAATAAACTAAAGGCTTTGTGTGCAGCTCAGTGGTGCAACATGGGCTTAGCATGCACAGTATCACTCCAGAGGCTGATCGTCCAGAGGTGGGGTGTCCAGGTGGCATAAAGTGGCTTTTGGGTGTGTATGGCAGGGGCAGCACATGCTCCCCCAGCAGGAAACTCACAGTATGTTTCTGGTCCACAGGACGGTCTTTACTGCTCAGCAACTGGAAGAGCTGGAGAAGGCTTTCGGAGAAGCCCACTACCCTGATGTGTACGCCCGGGAAATGCTGGCCCTGAAAACCCAGCTCCCTGAAGACCGGATACAGGTGTCTGGGGTCCCCTTTCTCCTTCCCAAAGACCCTTAGAGACTCACACACAGGCAGCTGCTTCTGTGCAGCCCACTGAGGTCCCCTCAAAGCTGAGGGCATACCGAAAGCACCAAAAGGGTCCTTGATCCTTGTGCTTTTATTATGTTATTGAATTATTCTAAAAAACCATACAATATGCGTGCTGCCGTGAGAAACCACATGAAGACAGATCGATAAAAAGCCTCTCTCCACCTTAAGTCCCTATGGAAATGAACAAGCAGGGTCGCTATTATACCCCACCGCATCCCCTCCATGCCAAGGTGTCCAGCCTGCATCACCGCGTGCTGTGCACAGAGAACTGCGCTCTGTTTGTCAGGAGATTCGAAGCCAGTTCACTCCTGTTAAATAGCGGCACGATATTCCACAATGTTCTCCCATTAAGCCAATGTTTTCCACGAGAGAACCAGCAACAGCCCAAAAACAGGCAGTCAGAGGGGCCTGGACCCAGAGGGCTCTCTCCATCCCGGAGGGAGGCGGGGCCTGGGTGCAGATGACCTCTTTACACCACACTGGGGACAGCAAGTGCTTTGCTCTGAGATTTTCACAGTATTTCCCAGGAGACTTCAGAGGCAGCAGGAGCCCCCATCCCCACACACCTACATCCCTGGGGTTCGGAGGGAAGGGACAGCTGCCGAACTTCTGTGGCCTCCCTTGCAGGGTGGTGGTGGTGGGGTCCTCCTCCCTAGACCCGGAATTCTGGGACGCAGGTCTGGGGCTCCCAGCGCGCTCTCACTGCGTTCCCTGCGCGCCCTCCCCTCTCTCTCCTGCTCCCTCCCGCTCCCCTTCTCTCCTACTGGCCTTCTTCCTCCCTCCCTCCTCCTCCGCCCCTACCAGGTCTGGTTCCAGAACCGCCGGGCCAAGTGGCGCAAGCGGGAGAAGCGCTGGGGCGGCAGCACCGTGATGGCCGAGTATGGGCTGTACGGGGCCCTGGTGCGGCACTGCCTCCCGCTGCCGGGAGCAGTGCTGGGTGCGCCCCAAGGCAGCCCGCGGGGCTGCTGTGGGCCCTGGCTGCTGGGGGAGCAGGGGCTGGGGTCCGCAGTGGGCAAAGCAAGAGACCCTAGTACTCAGGCTCGGCTGACCCTCCAGTCTAACCCCTGCCCACAGCAAGGCTGGCATCTGGAGCCTTCTTGTCACACCACCTGTGCGGGGGTGTCGGGGGAGGTTCCCTGGGGTTGCTCACACTGTGTTTGGGTTGGAAATGGGGGAGTGCAGAGAAAATCGAAATGGCCAACGCTCCCAGAGTCAGGTTGGTCCCTGCTGGGTCTGTCAGCCATACCTGTTGCAGTGTCTCTGTTCCTAGACTTTCTGTGCTGAAACAGCCTCTGCTGGTGGCTTGCCTGGGGTGGCTGCTACGGAGGCCACCTTTACTGCTGCAGCCTCACGGCTTAGAGGATGAGGAGTCACAGATCTCCACTGGGGGCTGAGAGAAGTTGGCCAGGGGACCCCCTGTGACTTTAATTTGGGAAGGGAGGGTTGTTTGTTCAGCAAACAAGTCTTGAGCACCTGCTGACCAGGGAGATGTGGGAACTGGAGATACCAGTTCTTAATGTAGTCTAGACTTTGCTCTAGGACAGAAGGGACCAGAGGGATCCAGGACGGGGAGCCAGCTGGACATTGAATAGGCTGAAGGGGGTTGTGCTGCACCCACTGGACCTGCTCATGGGAGAAAGTGAGCTCAATCACTGCATCACACAAGCAAAGCAGCTTTGCAGAGTGTAACAGCTAGCAGACACCAGCTTTTCCCTAAGGGTGGGAGTCACCTAGCCAGCTCACCTGTAGGCCCCAGTCACTCAGGCAGGGACAGGTCTAATGGCCAATGATGAGGAAGAGGTTTGCTTCACTGCTGAATTAAACATGGTTTTTGTTTGTTTGCTTTTTATTTCCTTCTCCCCCACCCCAAGGGATGCATAAAAAATCCATGGGGATGATAAGGAAACCAGGAAGTGAGGACAAGTTGGCAGAACTCTGGAGCTCCGACCACCTTCACAAAGATCCCCACAGAGGCTCGGACACAATGGGACCTGAGAATGCAGATGTGGCCATGGATCTGTCCAGCTCTGCCAGGCAGGAGACCAGGCAGGTGCAGGGGGCCAAGGCTCAAGGATGCTCCGATCTTGATGGGTTCCAGGGTTTCCAGCCAGGGGCGATGGGAGCCTTATGAGACCCACTGCCCCCACCCCTCAAAGGCTGGAAACACTGATGTTTTTCAAAAGGTAAAATGGTCCAGTACAAACACCCTTAGTTCAGTATTCTTATGGTGCCAGGATAAATTATAGTGCCAACTGCTGTAAGAGGACAGATGGATGACTTGGGGACAATTACACTTTGTTCTAGAATGGAAACCATCCCAGAGGCACTGGAGCCAGATGATCTGGGGTAAAATCTGATTCAGGTAGAACCTGAGAGGGAAGACCTGAAGTTCAGAAGGTGGTCACAGTTGGGTGCCACCTGAGATGTGGCTCAGTGTTCTGCATAGATTAGAAAGGAAGTCTGGTATCCTCACTCTGCATTAGGAAATAGAAGTTCTTTAACTTACAGTGAAATCAGTGTCTTTACAGTGGTGACTCTATGTGGACACATGAATGAATTCTAGTGTCTTTTCTTTGAGCTTGACCTTGGACGCTTCAGCTTGGGGTCAGGCAGTGATTGTTTTCTGAGTGTCCTTTGGTAGGTGTGCATGTTGGAGCCCATAGTCAGCAAAGAAAGGCCTCCTCTCAACTGTTTAAACAGTGTGGGAAGGTCAAGCTGTTTGAATGCACTTTAGTGATCTGAATTTCATGAATGTTTCCTGCATTTCCTTTGCCTCTTATTTATTATTTAAAAATAAAAATTGTGTGTATGAGTTTGCTTGTCAAGGCCCTCCTTCTGACACCTGTAACCTCACAAGCTCCTGTTGCTCTCTCTCCTGTCCCTTTCTGATGGGGAATCTGCCACATTTATCTTCTGCTGCACTCACCAGGGGTCGCCCTAACAGCACGATAGTGGCTGTGCCTGGCTTGCCTGGAGGAGCTCAGAGGTCACAGCTAAGTGGGAAGACGCTGGCTCCCAGAAAGGCCTGGCACTTTGGGACATAACTCACCAGGTTGGCTGTGTCCTCCCACCTTCTGGGGTGAGAAGACCACAGCCTCTTTTATTGCTCTGTTTTTATCATTCTGAGCCAGTTCCATTCTGTTGTGGATGTTCAGTGTCACCAGTTCCTACTGCAGGAACAGTGAGTCCATGTGCTTTTGCTTCTCTGGCTCCTAGAGACCATGCTGAGCCAGGTCTGAGCCTCTGACGAGTTGCTGAGGACCTGGAATGTCTCCTCACCTTCCTACCGAGGACACAGCCCGCAGCTGCGCTCTGGGCGAGTGCATGGCCATCTGCTCTGGGTATCTTTTGCATCCCATGGATCCCACTCACCCCTCAAGCGCTTCCCTGGGATTCTCCCAGGCCTGAAACTGGGGCAACTCACACATAGCCACTCAAGGAGCAAAGTCCTGCACAGCCGCAGAATGTGGTAACAGCAAAGTGTGTCTGTCCACGTGGAAACATGTTCACAAAGTGTTGCAGAATGAAAAAAAATCCATAAATAAAGGAAAAACTACAAGTAAAATGAAACAAAATGGGTTCTGGGGTGCTAAGGACTCCTTCTAGCAGGACTTTCTAGGGTCTTTCTGTCCTGAACAAAAAGTTGGTCATGACAAGAGCAAAAGGTAGTGAGGTTTAAAATTCATTAAAGGTATTAGAGATAGGAAAAGAAACTCATTCTGCACAGTGAGTGCAGGCCAATTAAAAGCAGGAAAAGAAGACACCCTACAGTGAGCTCTGACTGAAAGGACTCCCAGAAACCTTAATGCCCATCTTTTGTGTCCCTCATGCTCAGGCTGACATCAAGCCCAGGGAATCTGCTCATCCTGAGTCCTCTGGAGAAGGATGAAAACCCAGGTGCTAGGCTGCCTTGATTGACAGGTCACCCCCCCCATTGGCCTCATATCTATGCAATATTATAAAGAAAAATGATGGGCTGGGGATTTAGCTCAGTGGTTCGGTGAAAAAAAAAGAGAGAGAGAAACAAGAAGTGGCAAAAGGGAGAAAGGTAGAACAACTAATATAAAACAATTTTTTTTAAGTCAGGGTCTTGCTATGTTGTCCAGGCAGGTCTCAAACTCATGGGTTCAAGCAATTCTGCCTCAGCTTCCCAAGTAGCTGGAGCTACCGGCATAGGTCACAGTGTCCACCAGCTAAGACTACTTTAAGGGCATAAGAAAACACCATTTTCGCTAAAATGTTCATTAATATGCTTTAAAAAATCTGCGTTCTAGCCCTCCATTAATGGCAATATGAAATTCCTAAATAACTATCAACATTTAGAAATCAGCAGCGAACGAAGTTACTTGGCCTTTAGAAGCTGTACCCCAGCAGGGTCACCCTCCGTCCCTACAGCAGAAGTCCGGTCCTGCTGTCCCCAAGCGCACAGCCGCCTCTGGGCGCTCCGCCCGTTAAGGAGTAGCCCCGCCCCAGCGAGCCTCTTCGCACTTTTTTTGGTCAGATTGCCGGTCATGCTCAGATCTGCACCAATAGTCAGTCAGATGGGCGGAATTCCTGTTTTAGGCCAGCTGCGCGAGTAATCTCAAACTCACCAAGGGATAGGGACACAAACCGGGGGACCTGCGAACAACCTGTAAAAACGCCGAGCACTTGTCTGCATCTGGATAAAAATGGGTGCTTAAAAAAAAAATAAGTTTTGTAAAACTGGAATGCAAAAATAAAATAAAATGAGAATGGTTAACGTTATTTAAATATCAACGTCACGTCCGCAATTCTGAGTCCCGTTTCAGACCCGTCTTCCCTGCGGGTCTCAGATCTGGGCACAGATGCATCCCCTCCCCGAGGTCACCGGCGCTCTGAGCGCAGGGCCCTGCAGAGGCCGTAGAGGCTGCAGAGGCTCACGGAAGGGATGGATCTGCGGTGGAAACGATCCGGTGGAGTCAGGCTAGGGCACCTGGACCGTCCAGGTCAGGACGGGACAGGTCCGGACAGGACAGGCTGCGGGGACCCGGATGGGCCGGCTGCAGGCATCTCGATGGGACTGGACAGGACCGAACAGGTTCTCTTCCTAGAGAAACAAGGAAACTTTCAAGGGTGAGGGAAACGGAGGCCGGCAAGAGCTAAGGGGCTGTGGAGAGCAGCGCAGGGAGGACTCATGGATTGCTCCGCAGAGGATGTCCCATGGAGCTGCGGGCCACAGATGTGGGGAAATTAAATCTGAATAAATACCTGAATTTAGATTTGAATACTCTAAACCTAAATAGAATACAGGATTTTAAATCTGAATATAATTTTAATCTCACTCTATACAGAATCAAATACAACAGTGAATTCAATATACTATTCTAATTTGAATACAACCTAATGCTATACGGTATGGATTATAATATTCTAAATTTGAATCCCTATTTCAGTTTTGCTGATTGATTGAATAATGCTCTTTACAGCTATTTTCTTTCGTTTGAAAAAAAAAAAAAAAGCCCAGGTGGAACCCAGGGCCTCACAAATGTTAAGCATTCCCTCTCCCACTGCTGTCTGCCTTTCGTTCCGTACAGTACAGCAGTTTTCTTTGTTCAAGGAGATGAAGTCTAGCATATCATTGTCATGTCCCTTTTGTGGGGAACACTCTCAGCCTGTCTTTGGCATGAACTTAGATGTACCCTCATTTGAGAACAGTCCTCTCATTTAAGAATGATCCCCTCATTTGAGAATGGACTAATATTTCTTCACAGTTAGCCTCACATTGCACATTGTTGCAGGAAGATCCCTTTCATGAGCAGCTAAAAGGGTTAAAAAGGGTGACTCTGGCTGGGGTGCAGCTCAGGGATAGGGCACTTGCTTAGCGTGTGTGAGGCCCTGGGCTTCATTCCCAGCACTGCAGAAAAAAATCAAAGAGGGAAGGGGAGGTGAGGAGAGAAAAAAGAAAAAGGCTGACTTGAGTAGAGCCCTAGGGAAGGAAGCTGGGGGCAGGTGGCCTCTTTTGTCTGCCGCAACCCTTCTCCTCTTTTTGGGTTTTTAACAAGACCTTGAAATTATTGGATACAATTTTTGGAAACAAGGGGAACTCACTGGAAGGTCCATTTTCAGAGCCAGGGAAGCATCCCAAATGTTTTCAGTTCCACTGAGTGGGCCAAGGAGTTTGGAGAGGCTGTGCACAGTTTAGGGACGATCCCTTCTGTGTGGGACAGTGACCCACTTTCCCCTCACTCGCACATTTCTGCTGGCTCTTTCAGTTGCTGTCCTAGGAATTCCCTTTTCTGTTCTTTTCCTTTCCTTTCCTTCTCTTTTTTCTTTTTTGGATGCTGGGTATGGAACTCGGGGTCTCACCCAGGCTGGGTGAGTGCAGAGCTGTACCTTAGACTGGGAGTCTGGCCCTAAGAGCTCTCCGGGTCTAGGCAGCCAGCCCCCCCACCCGGCTCCCACTTGCTTACTGTGGTGGCTGCTAACAGACTCCAGCTGCTGACACTGCTGCTGAGGTTCCTGGGCCTCACTTGGGTTGCTGTGCAGGATTCCGCGGGTATCACAGACCTTTTAAAACTCCTAATAGGACTGGGGCTTTGTTCTGGGACCAAATTTCCCTGCAGTTCCAGGGAGGCCTGGCCCCCAAGAGATGTTGTGAAACTCACCCTACTTCACCTTTGTGTGCCTGTGCCCTGGGACTTCTATGTACACAGCCTATTGTTGATTACTGACAGTGTAGCCTGCTGTGGTGTTCTCCACAGCTAGGTTGCTTTGGACCCTGAACATACCCCAGAGTCTGGATGTCAAAATCTGTGATGCTCTGGGGAGCTGGTGGGACAATAGGAGGTGGCCCAGGGGAGGAAGTGAGGTCACAGTGTGTCCTTGGAGGGGAGCCTGGGACTGGGCCCTTTCCTCCCACCTGGCCTCTGCTGTCAGGTGCTTCCCTGTGGCAGATCTCAAACATGGGCCTACAGCAATTGGGGCAGGTGACAGGGGACAGACACCTCTGAAACCCCTATATTAACTCAACCTTTCTTTTCAAAGCTGGCTATCTGAGGCAGGCATTTTGTCACAGTGCCAGAGAGCTGACTCTGAGCCTGCTCTCTGAAGCATGTCATGGTCACCTGGGATGACCCCACAAACAGGCCCCTCTGGTTCCATCCTGCTCCCCACCAATGTCACC